CCGGGAATGGCACGGGAAACACCGGGAATGGCACCGGGAACGGCACGGGAAACACCGGGAATGGCACCGGGAATGGCACGGGAAACACCGGGAATGGCACGGGAAACACCGGGAATGGCACCGGGAACGGCACGGGAAACACCGGGAATGGCACCGGGAATGGCACGGGAAACACCGGGAATGGCACGGGAATGGCACGGGAAACACCGGGAACGGCACGGGAAACACCGGGGAGGGGACGGGAACGGTGGGGAGGGGACAGCAGCCACAGGTGAGGGGACGGGAACACCACGGGAGGGGACAGGAATGGCAGGTGAGGGGACGGGAACACCACGGGAGGGAACAGGAATGGCAGGTGAGGGTACAGGTACGGTAGGTGAGGGTACAGCAGCACCGGGGAGGGGACAGGAACCATGGGGCAGGTGACACTGTGTGACCTGCTGTGCCCTGCTCACTGTCCTGTGTCACACCTGTGTCACACCTGTGTGACAGGCTGGCACTGCTGTGTCCCCTGGTGTCACACCTCTGTCACCCCTGTGTCACCCCTGTGTCACACCTGTGTGACAGGTTTGCAGTGCTGTGTCACACCTGTGTCACACCTGTGTGACAGGCTGGCACTGCTGGGTACCCCCGGTGTGTTCTGTGTCACACCTGTCCCCACCTGTCCCCGCAGATCTCGCAGGTGTGGAACACTGGTGGCTCTGTGTCACACCTGTCCCCACCTGTCCCCGCAGATCTCGCAGGTGTGGAACACGCCGCTGGTGCAGCTGCTGCGCAGCCTGCAGGTGCTGGGGCTGGCTCAGGACGGGCAGCAGGTGCGCTCGGTGGAGCAGGAGGTGCTGTGGCGGCTGCGGCGCCTGTCCCTGCGGCAGCTGGCACACCTGGCCGAGCACCTGGCGGGGCAGGGCCGGGACGGCCCGCTGCTGCCCGAGGTGCTGCGCAAGCTGGAGCTGCGCTGGACCGAGCTGGACGGGCCCCGCAGCGTGGTGACGCTCATGGCCAAGGTGGGACACCTGTCCCCCGCCCTGATGGAGCGCCTGGAGGACAAGGTGGGACCTCACACCTGCCCGGGCTGGGTGGGGTCACCTGGGGTCACCTGCACCGCCTGTCCTCTGTCTGCCCTCTGTCACCTGTCCCTGTCCCACCTGTCCCTGTCTCACCTGTCCCTGTCCCACCTGTCCCTGTCCCACCTGTCCCTGTCTCACCTGTCCCTGTCCCACCTGTCCCTGTCCCACCTGTCCCTGTCTCACCTGTCCCTGTCCCACCTGTCCCTGTCCCACCTGTCCCTGTCTCACCTGTCCCTGTCCCACCTGTCCCTGTCCCACCTGTCCCTGTCTCACCTGTCCCTGTCCCACCTGTCCCTGTCCCACCTGTCCCTGTCTCACCTGTCCCTGTCCCACCTGTCCCTGTCCCACCTGTCCCTGTCTCACCTGTCCCTGTCCCACCTGTCCCTGTCCCACCTGTCCCTGTCTCACCTGTCCCTGTCCCACCTGTCCCTGTCCCACCTGTCCCTGTCTCACCTGTCCCTGTCCCACCTGTCCCTGTCCCACCTGTCCCTGTCTCACGTGTCCTTGTCTCTCCCCTGTCTCTCCCCTGTCTCTCCCCTGTCTCACCTGTCTCTCACCTGTCCCTCACCTGTCCCTCACCTGTCCCTCACCTGTCTCTCCCCTGTCTCTCCCCTGTCTCTCCCCTGTCTCTCCCCTGTCTCTCACCTGTCTCTCACCTGTCTCTCCCCTGTCTCTCACCTGTCTCTCACCTGTCTCTCACCTGTCTCTCACCTGTCTCTCCCCTGTCTCTCACCTGTCTCTCCCCTGTCTCTCCCCTGTCTCTCACCTGTCTCACCTGTGTCTCACCTGTCTCACCTGTCTCTCACCTGTCTCACCTGTCTCTCACCTGTCTCACCTGTGTCTCACCTGTCCCCGTGTCGCAGGCGCTGGAGCTGGCGGAGCAGTTTGATGCCGAGGAGCTGCGCCGTGTGGTGCTGGCGCTGGCGCTGCAGCAGCGCCGCAGCGTGCCGCTGCTGCGGGCGGTGTCGTACCACCTGCTGCAGAAACCTGCACAGCTGCCCCTGCCCGCGCTCAGCGACCTGCTCTTCGCCTTCAGTGAGTGCCAGGGCCACCTGTGGGGCTGGGGACCGGCCACGGGGTCCTGAGGGTCACCTGTGGGGCTGGGGACTGGCCATGAGCTCCTGAGGGCCACCTGCGGGGCTGGGGACCGGCCATGGGGTCCTGAGGGTCACCTGAGGGGCTGGGGACTGGCCATGGGGTCCTGAGGGTCACCTGTGGGGCTGGGGACTGGCCACGGGGTCCTGAGGGTCACCTGTGGGGCTGGGGACTGGCCATGGGGTCCTGAGGGCCACCTGTGGGGCTGGGGACCGGCCACGGGGTCCTGAGGGTCACCTGGAGCCCCTTCGGGCACTGGGAGGGCTCTGAGGTGTCCCTGGAGCCTTTTCCCGCCCAGGTGACAGTTCCCAGCTGTCACCTGTGCTGGGGACAGGGCACACCTGTGCTGGGGGACAGGGCACACCTGTGCTGGGG